TCGAACCGAAGCAGCATTTATCGATAGTACAAAATGTTCTCAGAGTGCCGAGAATATGTGAATGACGAAAAACGTGCCGGACGCACGAGCACGTCAACAACAGACGAAAACATTGATGAACTGAAGAAAATGGTATTGGCCAATCGCCGAATCACCGTTAGAGAAGCTGCTGAGGCCCTAACCATATTGATTGGCTCCTGCCATTCGATTTTTACCAATGATTTGGACATTAGACGGGTCACCGCGAAATTTGTACCAAAATTGCTCAGTTTTGACAAAAAACAGCATCGCATTAACGTTGCTAAGGAGCTAGCGCCACTACCTAAATTTGTTCCAGGGGGTTATAACTGGTGACGAATCATGGCTTTATGGTTATGACGTGAAAACCAAGGCTTAATCATCAAAATGGAAGCTGCCGCACGAAAAGCCAAGATCGAAAAAAGCACGCCAAGTGAGGTCGAATGTGAAGGGTTTGCTTACAGTTTTCTTCGATTGCAGTTTTTCCCACAGGGTAGAACGGTCAATAAGGAATATTACCTGCAGGTTATACGCAAATTGAACGAAGCAATCCGCCAGAAACGCTCGGATTTATGGAATTGGCTTTTGTACCATGATAACGCCCCTGCTATCCTGTGAGCCAATTTTTGGCCAAAAATAACACGCTAATAATGCTACAGCCACCGTATTCCGTATTTTTGAAGTGCTTCGAGGATTGGCAAAAACGTTGGCACAAGTGTATAATATCTGGTGGGGACTACTTTGAAGGGAACAAAATAGATATTCATGAATAAATAAAAAAATTAAAAAAAAACACAAAATCTGCGACACTTTTTGAATAGACCTCATAAACATACTAAAAAAGCGCCGGATAGTGATTTTACAGGTACATTCCCGTTTCGTCTATTTTTTGTTTCGTAGACTGTGCAATTTTACTTGTTATGTTCTTGTTTTGTCGAATGATGCCTAAATCATTTTATAGCACCTTTCCTGTTTCGTCAACTCGGTCAATCAAAGGTGTCACCACCACATATAACTTTAATAAGTATGTATTTATATAATTAGTTTCGTTTAGGGTAGATTATTTATTACGAAACAACAACCGTCTTATCGTTATAAATACCTGCAACTTTATAAATTTTAAACAAACATGGAGTTGAAATAGTAGTATCAAGAAGAAGAAAGCCAGTTATTTTGTAACTCGGGTTATTATTTTTTTATATACAAGTACATTTCTATACTTGTTACCTGTAACAGGGTACGGAGGTGTACGGGAATATACGTGATCCCACGACATTAGTTTTTTGATAAGCCGCAATTGGTATATGTCTTAATATTTTATTCTACACTTCTTTGTACATTATTTATATTTTCAATTTAATTCCGTAGTGGTATAATTCTGGATTGGATAATTCTAGGGTAGCGATTGCCACCTTTTGCCACTTCTTAAATTACTTTAGTGCGATGGTAGGTATATAAGTCAGGATTTACATCGACCTCTTATAGATTATCGAGTAATATCAGCGCAGTATTGCTAATCACAGCCACACCATTTCACACATAAAAATATTTATTTGTATTTTACGCAAAATCGCGAGAATAAATAGAATCTCATCTTCCAAATTACAGCAATTCCCACACGTATAAACACCTTACAAACCAACTTCACTAAAAGACCCATTGATAACAACAACACAACAAAAACACCATACCATATACCACGAAGAATCACTCGAAAATCCTTCTGGCCTGCCAAATTATTGGCAATCGCTCCCGACCTTCCTGACGAAATCCTTAACTACCTGGATAACTTACCAAACTCCCTAAAATAATCCCGCTCCCACACACACACAAACGCATAGCTCATTTTCAAAATACACAATCTCATAACATTAATAACCACAATCGGCTGAAGAGGGCAATAATCGGTTCTATAACGGCTTTAGTCGGTAGGTCCGAGGACACCTTCCTCGGGAATCAGTCACTACCACTTCATATTCATTTAACAGTGGTATAAAAATCGAAATAACGTATTGTTTTTAACTACAGCAATAAATCATATACACAACAGAACATTCCTCCAATCTTTAACGAAGAGATATCAATGAGCGATCAAGCAGAAAACCTGAAAACACAATTTTGGATACTAAAAACTAAGAAAGTAAAATGAAGCATGGTGAATGTCTATTGAGTCGAACTCAGACTTTTTTATAAATAAATTATACCCAAAATACCGTTCTATTGATATCTAAATTTATACCAACGATAAGTGTTACTTACGCGGTTATAAAACATGTAAACCATGTAACAGCGGCGTAGCAATTGCAATTATATATATACCGATCATTTTTATTACTTCGTAATAATTATTTATTTATTAACCATTTTATTTTCGTGACCGTGAAAAACTTCACTGGCCGTGTATTACGGCTGATGTAATTTATTCGATATTAATTTAGCACAGACAAGTTCAAGGTCGTAATTACAGTTTTTGCTGAACCTGTTTAACGTGCCGTGTTACACTTTCAATATTAAACCGTTCCTATTTCTATCAATATACATATTATGTATAATAGTCAAATTATGACGACTTTTGTTCAACAACTTCAATCTATTTTAAACAAGTACAGGGTGGGCTTTCGACGTTTGTATAGGACAGGGATGGCGAACCTTTACGAATTGACGTGCCATTTTTATAAAGAAAAGTTTAATAGGTCATAGGCATGCCATCAAATAACTTTGTCTCTGTGATTATTGCGAAAATAGTAATAATAAATTATATCAACTCAAAATTCTTTATTTACGGCAAAAAATAGGAACATTTTGCAATGTTTAAATTATACGTGTAATTTAAATTAAAGTAAAATTAGTGTGATTTCTGTTGTTGCAGATTAGATGCCACGCGTGCCATTGGTTCGCCATCCCTGGTATAGGAGAACTTGGTAACTATTAGAGATACCAAAAATTAATGGCATCAACTTGACATCGTCTTTTGTTTTTGAGTTATATGTAAACAAAAGTTAAAAATTTTAAGTTTTGGTTACATGTCTTTATCTTAGTTGTTTGTAGTATTACAAAAAAACAACTTTTACGTTTTTCAGCAACTTTTTTACATAGAATAGAGCGGTGCCGATCAAGGTGCTCTGACACCAGTAGTGCTCGTTGTTGCCAAAAAATTCTGGCACTGCAAACGAAGGCTTCGTCTGTCTGTCTGTAATATGAATATAGACAAACGAATCTTTAAAATGATTAACGGGTGGTCACTATGATATATATTATAAATGACAGACGCCTACTAGAATCTAATATAAATAATGAAAGGGGTAAACTACGAGATGATAATTTTTGCAATTAAATGTTTACCCACACGGAATGCGACCCCACATATTATGTGTATACATTTGAAAAGACTTTTAACTAAAGCATTGCCAATTATGATTTTTACTGAAAAGAATTTAAGTTTATGATATAACCCGAAAGGTGATGATTTTTTTTTTAATTTTTGACACCACTACATTCTATGTAAAATAGCATCTGAAAATAGTAAAATTTGTTTGTAGCCAAAACATCAAAATTCGAAATTTTCTACTTTTGTTTATAACTAGAAAACAAAAGACGATATCATGTTTTTGAAAACGTCAATCAATTTGTTTCAAAAATTGAGATAAAGAAACTACCATTAATATGTTTGTATCTCTTATAGTTATATCGAGTTATCCTATACGAACGTTGAAATTTGTTAACCCTACACATTTCTTTAAAATTTATTATAAAAATTCCTTGCTATTGCTGAAATAACCTTAAGGTCCCGCTGCTCATAAACCTTACAATCATTACATTTATTGCTAGGTTTAGAGGAAATTTACATGTATTGCAACTTAGTTACTCATTTCAGGAAATTTTGATTAGTGTTATTTGCCATCGAGTTACTATGATTCATTGAATTAACGGGTAAATTCCCTAGTAATATACGATGTGTGAATGAAATTTATTAATTTGATGTTTTGAGTCATTATGTAGCTTTCAAAAATTGTAAATAAATGTTATTGACCATTGACAGCAAGCTTTTAGTCATTCACGTCATGAACTACATTGACTTTTGGGATTTGTTGGAAAATGGTAACAATCAAACATTTTAAGTATATGTATTTATTGTAAACTAGATTTTACCCGTGGCTTCGCTCGCGTTGATGTCCTAAATACGCATCAAAAATCATCGACGACAACATCATCATGAGGTAGTGAGTCTTAAGACTGATTGGACACGCACCTCCACTCTTTCGTATCCTGAGCTAATCTTTGCATTTCCCTAATACATCCCACATCCTTAACTATCTGCGCACAGTAATCTAATCTAGGGCTACCTCTACTCCTCTTAACCCCTGCTTTTGCTTCTAATATGTCTCTGACGACAACATAATATATTAACTTTTTCTATCTTTAGGGAACAGTATTTTTTTTCTGGATAGAAGGTATGTGTGTACAAAATAATAAACAAAGGATAGTTGGTAAAATGTTGAAATCTCATGTCCTTTTTGAAACAAGAAACATCCAATTTGCCTTAATTTACTTCCCTTGCAATATATTCATACGTATAACAAGCTGCTCTTATATGCAGTTCAAAATAATAGATAGAGAAATGCTTATTATTGCTTTAAATTTTGATTTACTGACAAACTAAAGAAGCACATCAAAGTAGACAGTTCATGCTACAGCTTCAAAAATAAAAGATTTCATTGTAAAGTTACCTACTTGGTACATTTCATTAAACTTTTAATTGTACATTATGTATGTCTTTTAATATTGTAAAAAGGGCTATGGCAAACCACATTATCACTATCAGAGTAATTCAGTAAATAGACGTAGATCTAATATATTATACTATTTATTAATAGTTTTACGTCTAAGGTTTGATGATATTGAGTAATACCACTAGTTATAATTCTTAATATACTTGTTTAATAAATTTTTCATGACTACTATAAAAAAAAACGATTTCTTACCATATCGTCCGCCACAATTACAATTATATGGGGTTTCTTATTTTCTGCAAATCCGAAAGGCAAAATCAAAACGAAGCACAAAAAACGTAAGAACCACATGATTATTATTATTATTATTCTTATTATTCACTGAAATTATTTTAAAACGAAAGTTTTTGATGATTCCTAAAAGAAGAAAACGATTTTTCACTAACACTTTTAAAATTCTGACAACAAACTATACTGCAGACTTTTGTTTTGAAAACAAAATACGAGAACGCAATGATAACCCAATGGCAAGGGCACCCTACGTTCTCAGTTTGAAATCGAAAGGGAAATAGAACTATTGTAGCATAAAATTGCTTATATCTATATATATATATACAATAAAATTTCGAGTGGGAGCGAAATAAGTTGAGCGCTACCGGTTTTCTTTACGGTCACTCGAGAAAATCCGACAACTCGCTATGCGTCATTAAATGTATCTGTGCAAATAATTGCAAGAAATGTTGTGGAATTCCTACAACTTTAAGTATATGTAAAACAATCAATTCAATATGTTGCGAGTACGTTATAAAACAACAATAACAAAAGCTGTAGCGACCACTTGCATTTTTTTTTGTTTTCTATATTTAGCGTGTGCATTCAAAGTGGTGCCTGATGGAGTAACTGAAAGTGCACTTGCATGGATATTCGTTTATTTTTAAAAAAATCTTTTCAGATGGTGTATTTACAATATTCATGGTCAATTTTAAGTATTATCTATCCCAAGAAAAAAGAATGAATGTATATAAATCTATCAGAGAACTTCTTGTATAATATTCTTTCGTAAAAAGAGTAACAAGAATAAGGACATACATAGAAGAGAACAGTGAACTAATAAATGGCCTACGACTATAGAGTATAATTCATAAACGTAGCATTGAAAAAGGATAACGTTATTCGCTATCAATCACTGCTAGATCAAAAACTAAAAAATATCAGTTTGGGTTCGGTGTACAATAATAATAGTTTTTTTTAGAGTAGATCCCTAGAGATAGTAACATTTTATTAAAAGATATTGTCACGTAGTGGAGATTTATGAAAACTCAAAAAGTATTTTAGACTTTAAAACATATTTCAAAATAAATATTTTATAATTGTAACATTGCAATTCTTTGAAAATTAATAAAACAGATATCGAGTTCATTTAATTGTGTGAACGGGGATCGGTGGTCTAATTGCGATTAGTCGACTCGGGAACGCGTTAACAAAAAGACTCTACCCTTAAGAGCATAACAGGTAAGAAACCTTAAGTGTTGGTGGTACTACCTCCTGGTCAGGATAATTACAACGCTCTTATCAATGTAACTACCCTAGACAAAGAACACTTACTCCGAGGACATTCATGTAGATCATTTTTTTCCAACAATGCCCTAGACAAAAATTTTCAGTCTCTCTCCAGTCTCTCAGAGTCTTTCAGCGTCTCTGAGAGCGTCTCTAAGAGTCTCTCAGTTATTGCTTAGGTGTTTTTATGGTTCTCTCTCAGTCTCTGTATGAGAGACTAGAACGATAAAATTGTTAATTCAGAGATTCGAGTCTATCACAGAGAGATTAAGTGAATAAAACTGAAAAACTGAGAGACTCGAGTGTCTCGTTCGGAGACTGCATACGAAATTCGGATCTCTCTATGAGCGACTCGAGTCTGTCGTTCAGAGACGCTAAACAGTTTTTTTGACAGTCTCTCTCTCAGAGAGACTCAATGAGAGACGGGGACTCGAGTCTCGCTTTCAGAGACTCCGAGAGACTGAAAATTTTTATCTCGGGTGGTTTTGTTAACTTTTACGCTGTATTGATCTACATTGAGAGGGAGATCCTTTTTATAAACGTTTTTGTTCAATTTTCATTTGTGATGTTATCTATCTAAATTACCTGACAACTAACTCTAAATCTATTTGTAATTGTCATATTGTCTTTTTGAATTTCATATCCGTTTTACATTACTGTATAATAAAGTTGTTATTGTTTTCCAATCTTACCTTTCTTATCATTTTAATACCTTACGTTCAGCCACGACAAAATAATCAAAATACATTATAATCTGGTAATTAAAATAAATAATTAACAAAAAAAAACAAAGTAACAAAATACCGCGTGACAATATTCTGTCTGCTTCACACTGCTTCATATTTGGTGGTCAGCTTGAGTTATATATATATATATAAGTCNCTTTAATTAATTATGGAGTTTCAAGAAGTAAATCCTTCTACTATTAATTAATGGGACGTATTATAAATGTTGCAATAGAATCTTACTTTTCCAAGAGCCACTGTACATGTAGCCATGTCTAATTCAAAACTGTCGTTAACTCCAGGTGCAGCTGCAGCTATTGGACACGTTCCAATACCAGACTAAAAAGAGTTTATTTTTTGTTAAAAAATTCATGTTTGATTGTAATAATATACATACGTTTTTTGCTCTGGTTGGAACTACAATGGGTGAGCTGTTAGTAAAAGCCAATCCAATAACACCTGCTTTCATTGCATGTACTGCATATTTCCCAGCAATTCCGAAGTGATTTGATCCTAGGAAATAATAAATAATAATATGTATATATATATTTTTCGATTAACCGCTTTCAAGTTTACAATTGTATTAGTTTTGTATCAAAACAGCTGGAATGACAAAATGTTTTATGATTTACCTAACAGAGCATTTCTGTTAGAGAGAAGCCTGATTATCCTTGCGTCGCTCAGGAAAAATTAGTTATCATTTAAGAGCGTTCTTAAAAAAAAAAAAAACTTTTGGGTGTTTCATTCCCACCAGCCAGTAATGCTGGTGGGCGGGCAGTCCCTCCGGACTGTGCCGAAGGTAGGGCGGAAGGCCCTCTTCAGCCTGCTTTCAGGAATCGTGGGAATGGGTGGGTGGTGGTTCGGGTGAGAAAGATGAGACGGACGAAATGGAAACAGAAGAGAGTGAAAGATTATCTGTGGAATATTACTGCCTCAGTATTTGCCTAAGTGATCCAAGGAAACCACAGAAAAACTTCGACCAAGGCAGATGGACCCGGAATCGAACCGGCGTTCTCCCGAATGCTAAGCAATGGTCTAAACCTCTAGGCCATGACGCTTGGTCAAGAGAGCTAAAAAAAAAAACTTTTGGGTGTTTCATTCCCACCAGCCAGTAATGCTGGTGGGCCGGCAGTCCCTCCGGACTACGCCGGAAGGTAGGGCGGAGGGCCCTCTTCAGCCTCCTTTCAGGAATCGTGGGAATGTGTGGATGGTGGTGGTTCGGGTGAGAAAGATGAGACGGACGAAATGAAGACAGAAGAGGATGAAAGATTATCTGTGGAATATTACTGCCTCAGCATTTGCCTAAGTGATCNGTGGGTGGTGGTTCGGGTGAGAAAGATGAGACGGACGAAATGAAGACAGAAGAGGATGAAAGATTATCTGTGGAATATTACTGCCTCAGCATTTGCCTAGTGATCCAAGGAAAGCTCAGAAAAACTTGGACCAAGGCAGACGGACCCGGAATCGAATGGCGTCCTCCCGAATGCTAAACAATGGTCTAACCTCTAAATCTCTAGGCCATGCCGCTCGGTCAAGAGAGCTACTCCTAAAGACCTTTATACAGTTGAGATATTTGAAATTGGCATGCACAAAATAAAAACGATCGCATTGATTTACTTCTTTCAACTTATTAACTTAGACTAGAGTAGCTGCTGTCAGAACGTCTACTTTTACTCACGAAAGACGTTGTAGGGAACATCGTAATCATAGAAAAGAGATGTTAGGTAGGTATTGCAGCGGACACTATTAAAGAAAAAGGAATAACATTACACCAGTTAATGTGTAACAGAAAGGTATGCGAAGAAGCAGAATTTGAGCGTGTTACCAGCATCAGACTTTAAAGAAAGTTCAACATTCTCACGAATTTAGGAAAGAAAAGACGTTTATTCAAAAATAATGTTAATTCCAATCAGACAGTTATAAAGCCGACCCTAATCTTCGGTGTATATAAGCAACAAGCAACTTACAACCGCTGCACCGCTTACTATTATTCGATTATCTCTTTTCACTTTGCACTACACATGAAACATTTGTGCTATTCTAGTATTAATATCTAATAATGCTATACATAAAAACCAATTAAAATTTTGCGGTCTCTACTAGGTATTTTATGAATTAAGAAAGGTCAAAAATAATTTAGTTCATTTACAAATACAATTATAAGCTTGTAACTCCTTTTCTATTAACGGTGATACATAAATATGTATCTATAATCATTAATTAGTTTTGCAGTTTCACAAAAATTGACCCACTAATACGTTAAATAAGCTACATTGGCATTGTCGTGTCTACCAGACGTCTACCCGTCGGCGGTAATTTCTGCCAGACGCTTCGAAGTTCGCAAAAACAAATCGTAACTTATTTGCAAATTGACTCGTTGGCCGAGTTAGCAGGTTTATTCCACCTATTTTGTTACTCAGAAAATAAGAAATGTTTAGTTGCTCCGGGATCTTACTCTATAAGGGATATTAGCGACGAGCTTAACAACTGTAATCAAAAAAGTTAAAAAGTGTGACGGTATCATTCAATAATCTAACCATCAGTTATGCATAATTAATACAATATGATAGATATTATTAGGAAGGTATAAAAACAATTAGTTCTCCCTACTTCTTGATTTAGTAGGAGGTCATTCTATCTTTACGGGTAACAATAGAGAAAACGATAGAAAAAAGAAAGAGTGCGTTCATAGTATTTATAGATTTAGAAAAAGCTTTCGACAATGTTAAATGGAACAAGATGTTAAATATACTTAAAAATGTAGGGATGAGTTACAAAGATAGAAAAGTGATCCTTGGTTTGTATAAAGTCCAACAGGCAGTTATAGAGTTTGGGCTGTAACTTACAGAAGTAAATATTAGGAAGGGAGTCAGATAGGGATGCACACTGTCACCGCTACTTTTTAATCTATACATCAAAGACGCGATCAACATCATTAAAGACAGTACAACTGTAGAGATAGATATACAGGGTCAAAAGATTAGGGATAGAGCGAATATAAAAATAGGAGACTAAAGGTAGCGCAGGGTCGATAAAAAGAAGTCACTTCTATGTTCGCGAACGGTTAATTTAGAAATTCGAAAAAAGGTGTTTGGAGCGTGGCGCTGTACGAGTGCGAAACATGGACAGTGTGGGCGCGTTTTCGAAATGTGGTGTTACAGGCGAATGATGAGGATATACTGTGGATAGAGAATGTTAGAAATGAAGAGGTATTAGAAAAAGTAAGAGAACAAAGGACTCTATGGAAGTCAATAAGAAATAGGAGACATAGGTTAGTAGGACATCATCTCAGGCATGAAGGTCTAGCCAGAGACATATTAGAGGCAGAAACGCGAGTTATGAGGGGTAGAGGTAGACCTAGATTATATTACTGTTCGTAGATAGTTAAGGATGAGAGTTGTTCTAGTTTTAGGGAAATGCTAAGATTCGCTCAGGATAAAAAAGAGTGGAGGTGCGTGTCCAACCAGTGTTAGAACTGACGACCTTATTATGATGATATCGAGACATCATTTAATTATAATTATAATATTTCTAAATTGATGTTATCAATGTGTAAAATTAGTTTTTATTATTGTGACTTTATCACTGATGGTCACCGTACATTTGATAATTTTCTGTTTTGAGTAAAAATAAAAATTGTTACGTTACAGGTGAGTGATGTATTAACAATTGAAGGAAAACAAAGAAATATAATTTCAGTTTACATCACCTTATGGAAAATTACCTGCGACCTTCTTCGTATCATATTAAGTAATTACATTTGTTATTCTTTTTGATGCTTCGAGACAAGAAAACTCAAGTTACTTATGTGGATGACGATTACCTATTTTTCGTTGTTCAATAATCTTTCCGTTATGTAATCTTACAAACAAGCCAATGGTAAAAATATTGACAAAGGAAAAAAAGAAAAGTAGTTTTAATGTTGTAGTTAAAAAAAGTGAGGGAAATAATTTCTGTACTAATACCAAGTTTGTATCAAATGGTTAATTTTAAACGTCTACTAAGAAGATTATATAATTAGTATACATATTTTATTATATCGGCACCGTAGATATCGTTTATTGATGCATTTAGAATTACTTTTTTAGGATATTCACATTCTAGTTAATGGTTTTAAGAGATAAAACGTTTGAAACGCCTGAAACTATCAATTACTAATTTTCAGTTTCTAAACAAAATATATTCTGATATATGTATTTTCATATTCCCCAATTGTAGGTACTTACACAGAATTTGGAAATACAGCGAGAATTATAAACCATGCAGACAATAGAGTTAACATAACTGAGAGAAGCTTATAATAATGCATTATCGAAATTTTAGTGACAGTAGTAGTATTAGTAAATCAAAAATTAAATGTCTTTTTCAATTAAAAAAACGTTTGGTCAAAAAAAATTGCCACAACAAATGAAAGTATGGTGTTGTAAAATCAGACTCCCTAGATAAACCATGGAAAGATATCATTATTTGTATGAAGTGTTTGTTTGTTTCTGTATTTAATTAATCCTTATTAGCTGGGAGTTCATCCCTAAGAAAGTATCATANAAGAGAGTACGAAGGTTGCTGCCAAGTCGCACGTTTCGTTTCTTTCATCGTTCATTCACCGTTTTATTCACCGTTTTATTCACCGTTTATTCACCGTTCTTGTTTCACCTAGTGTACGCCGATTGAAGGCATTGTATATATTGTAAATAGATTCAATAGATTCTACTACATTTACAGTGTTTTTTCAATCCCCAACAAATACCTGCAACCCTTTAATTAGGATTGCTAGGACGTTTCATGCGATAATATAGCCGCCGATTCTGAGTCACCGAATCGTATGAAACAGATAGAACGGTCTTCCACGTTCCTCTATTTCTTCTAAACCCAAATTGATCTTCCCCTAATAGTTCTTCTGCCCTTTTTTCCATCTTTCTCTGTAGAATTCTGGTTAAGATTTTTGTCGCATGGGAAGTTAAGCTAATTGTTCTGAATGACTCGTACCTATCCGCTCTTCCTCTTTTTAGGTACGGTTACTACCACGTTCCGTTTATAATCCTCCGGGACATTCCCCGTCTCGTTAATATGACTAACTGGGCTAAACATATGATCACTAATTTCTTGTCCTGCATGTTTTAATATTTCCGCTTGTACTCCATCTATACCTGGTGCCTTAATATTCTTTAATTTTTTTAGTGCTACGTCAAAGTCTTTACTCATTCTGGGGTAACCTAGCTCACCTATCTTCACACTATCTTCTTTCTCTAATATATCTCCTAGCCCTTAGCCAGCGCATATGTCTCCTAAATATTAGTTCCTCCTATTTGCCTTTTCCTCATTTTCTGTCAAAATCACCCTTGCCTCGTTTCTTATATTATTACTGCTATACCTAACTTCTCTAAAATTCCTATTAATTATATTTTAGCTGTCCTACACTTCCTAATTATTTCCCACATTATCGTATTATATAATTTTTGGCCCTCTTCGCCTATCCTGTTTTTGTATTTCCGCGTTTCTTCTATTAGTTCTACAATTTCGTTTGTTATCTACAATTTCATACTTTCGTTTTGTTTAAGACCTGATATATCTCTAGCTGAAAAATTACGGCGCGTTTTAATGAGTTCCATTCTATAAAGGTTTAGTATTTTTAATTTTTAATAAGACAAATGCGTAAGCAGGTGTCTACAAAAAGGATAATTGTAAATTCTGGACGGTGGAGGGTTATTCTTAAACGAAATAGTATCTGCATTTCAGTTCTTTAAAAATACAGACCTAG